TGATAACACCTGTTGTCACACTGAAAAAAAACATCCTGAACTTGCAGTATTATGACGTGTAATTTCTTTTGCTACTTGTAGAGATGATCTTTGATTGTTAAAAATTTTGGCAGGGAAATCCAGATGGCCGTAGAGGGTGTCGCCACCATAAAATTCTCAAGTTTCACACGATTTAAATGACTTTTTTAGCATTTAAATCTTTTTTCACAAATTTTGTCATGGGGTGGTATATTTCCTGATATCGAATTATGCCCCCTTCAAAAAATTCTGCATCTGCCCTTGTTGGGGCTCTGCCAAATTAAGTGTATAATTGGTTTGTGTTTCATGAATTAAAATTGCCATTTTTCATTTTTAGTTTTTACTGTTCCACCTGAAGGGCATTATTCAGATAAGTCCAGATGACACATTTAACCTTATTCACTTTATTAAGTGTTGCATAAAACAGGTTCAAATGATTGAAGATTTATATCCAGTGGCAAATATATCATGCAGACTGGAATCCAGCCATTTTTAAAAGGGGCCGTTCCAACACATGAAAGTCGTTTCAAAGTGAGGAGGGGTCCACCCATATGTCCCCATAAAAAAGCATTAGTTGTTAAACAAAAAGGTGGTTCCAACCTCTGGAACAGCCCCCTGGATCCGCCACTGTCATGAATAACAGGACAAGAACATGTTGATATGATATAAGTATAGCAGTTATAATGAACCTAATGCCTTGCAGAAATTTTTATGCTAATCCTATCAGTGTTACTTAATCTCTAAACAAAAACAAGCTAATCTGATCAAAAATACTGCACCGAATCTGATCTTCCCAATGTAAATATTACAAGAATTTTTAAACACATTACTCAAAATGGAGCAAGCTAACAAGCTTAGTAATTTGATAAAAAATACTGCACTCAATCAAACTTCCCAGTGTCAATATAACAGGAATTTTTAAACACATTATTCAAAATGGAGGAGAATTCTATCCTAACAGAAAACATACTGTAATATCAATAAAATGGTACTAAAATAATCTAAAACCCCTAAATCTTCTCCATGAGAATGCATAATGTTCCTCCCAATTGCCAAAGACTTGTTACATTCTTACAAATTTGTTTAATTAACATGATTAAGGTACATAGTGTATATTGGCGGGATTTCCATAGATCTGTCAAAATGTCATTGAGTTATGTACTTTTGTATCTATGTATATTAATGTTTCAATGTTAGTTTTGTCTATTACATTAATGTATCGATAACATGGGACGGTATTAAATAATATTATATCAGATATTTGAATGGGGTGGGGCATAATGAAGATTATTGTGTTGTATCCTTTTCAAATAATAGCAGGAGCTAAAATTTATAATGCAATAAACTCTATTCAATCTTTGAACTAAATCCACCAGGAATCTGGTTAATACCACAATATTGTAGAATTCATTAGAAACGTGTAACATTTTGACATTTCATACATTTCTTTTATTTTCTATCTGAAAACTTAAAACTTAAAATACTGCAAATGTTATGCCATATATCATAAAACCTTTATCAAGAAGAATTCTAAACTCATGAGCTCATAATGCTTCTTTATTACCCATCCTGATATATATGCATGTAATATTTGCCACTTGATGTTAAACACCCATCCATCCATCATCTTTGATGCTCATTATTTAGTGAAATAACATAGTCAGTTGCAATAAAACAAATTGACACAAGGATATCCAACATGCATAAAATAAATCTAAGACATACACTCCTCAATTTCATTTGGCATCTTCTGCATAAAAAATTCATAAATCATAAACATTCAAGTATAACTTACAAACAATTTTAATGGTAACATTTTTGTGACAGGAACCAATGTTCCTTCATACAGTCATGTGTTTGTTCCATATATGTATTAGCATAATGATCCATTATAACTAAAAAAAAGATTATGACAAAATAAACTTTCAGTAACTGCATCCGAGTGCCTTTGTCCAAAAAAAAAAATCATGTTGCCATTATGTAATATTGCAACTAATAGTCAAAATCGGGGATACTAATTGTGATTAATATTACTCCAGTCCACTTTTCCATTCTATGTTTTCTGCTATGCCAAGGGGTATTGAGAAAATAACTGTAGTATTTAATTTTTCAGTTTACATTATGCATTACCGCATTTAATTGTCAAATGCAATTTGTTACTTCTTTATAAAACTATAATAACTCCAGTCCAATTGTTCATTCTATGTTTTCTACTATGCCGAAAAGGTATAAAGCAAATTTAACTGTAAACTTCAATTTGTCAATACATTTTATGGGCCATTAGTACCTTAGGGAGCTACCATTTGATTTTTATGGGGGCTAGGATGAAAAATTTTGTCCTGCATTATTTTTAGTTGTAATCTCTGTCCTGCCTTTTTATTTTTCACTCTATTCGGTCCTGCTTTTTTTTTTATTAGTTTATCCAGATTTTTTTTTAATAAATTTTCATCTAGTCTTTGCGCATCCTGCCTTTTTTTTACTCAAAACTCCTGTCCTGCCTTTTTTTCAAATTTCATCCTAGCCCCCTCCCCCCCCCCCCCCCCTCATAAAAATCAAATGGTAGCTCCCTTAGATGTTAACCACTTACCTTGCCTTGATATTCACTAAACCTCTCTATAAAAATATCTTCACCAGCTCTCAGTGAGTAGCAGAAGTTCATTGATCTCTCAAGACATTTAGTAATGCAAGACTTTATTTTATTAATTATTAGTTTTATATTACTTACAAAAATCATTGTTCGAAGAATTAGCAATATAAGTGGTGTAAAATGTCATGACAAAATCAAAATGAGTCATTTGAAATAAAAGCTCTTCTGTTCTGTTCTGTTCTGTTCTTTCTTTCTCAATATCAATATACCCTTCTAAGTATCCTCATTTATCCATTTTTCATTTTATTTCAAGGAAAGAAATTAAAAAAAAAAAAAACTCCCCCTCCCATGACACATACAATACCGGCAGGATCCATGATTTGATGTTAGGGAAATGAGGAGTATAAAGATCATATTTTGACTAAGATAATGGCTTTAAATTAACCTATAAATCATATTTTTCTGATTTTAGGGGGGGGGGGGGGGGGGGGGGGGGGGGGGGGGGGGGGTCCTGGGTGTGCGTCCCTGTCTAAATCTGTGCCCGCAATATCTCCTGGAAGAACTATCCTCCATCATATTCCCTCCAAGAAAAAAATTACTTTTCCGTTAACAATTCCTTTTATTCAAACTATGTTTTTCCATTTTGCTCTAAAATGGGAAAAATTTCTATATACTACTGAGTTCGATAAAAAAAAATTCTACACACTAAATCTAAAGACACGTACCATTGAAAATACATGCCTATCATTTTCATAAGCATTTAAGTTTTTTCAATGTCAACGAATACCAGGCAAGTTTCTTCTACTATTACCTCAATCATATTTCATTAAATAAATAAATGACTCCTCTACAATGTATTTCCAAGTTTGTAAGTACACAAATTATGCAATCGTCAACAATTTAAAAATTTTGTTGTGTTGCAAACTTGAGTACTTGGTGTAAGAAACACATGGTATAAATGAATTCACAGAAAGTTTAAATTAATTAAAGGAGCCAAAAATAGGACCAACTCTTGATGATGACATAATGAAGCAAATGATATAAACAGAAAATAAACAAAAGGAGCACTTTTTAGTCTTCAATAATGGCATCAATGAAAACAAGGGATGGCATTTTGGAATGGAATACAACAGGAAAATGATAAACTAATGTATATCATGGATATCAAAAGCAGTATAAGTTGGATAAAGAAACATGCCATATCAGGCAGGCTGTAAATTTGATGTCTGAAAGATGACTGCATGGAATGGGGAAGAAATAAATCATGGAGAGTAGAATTAAGCAGTGAACATATATATAGGATTTGAGAACAGAGAACTATGCATCTAATAAATGCTGATAAAATGCACATTGAGTATTTGAATTCTAATCACTGAAACTATATACTAATATCTATATCAAACTGTTTGTGGTAGATATGACAAGACCAACAAGACATAATATGTAGTTCTAAAATATATCTGATTATACTGATCAGAAGTGTACAATAGTATATATGAACTACTAGTACGGATTTTTAATATGGAAATATATGATGACTGAAAATTAAACATGGATAGAAACAAGAGTCAGAAGAATTTGAAGTAAAAAGGCATTACAAAAAACATGGTATATGAACATAGAATGGAGTGCATTTCAAACATTTTTTTTTAATCTTAGGTTTGAAATGTTTTTCAATTAAAGACATGACAACTAAAAAGCTCATGTAATGTAAATTCATTGTTAGAGAAGGTTTTTTTAAATTATTACATGATTATTTGTTCATCGTATGTTTTAGTATATACCATTAAATGTAGTAAAATGATTAATGAAACAGAAATTTTGAAGAACATGCTAAAAATCAAAACATGTTAAAATGATTGTGAAAATATCATCAAAAGCAGTAAAGAAAACACCAAAACTCTCAGCACCCATGCCATTAAAAGTTAATCCTCAAGAAAATAATCAGATATGTGATTATAGGCAATAGTACAGTTAGAACAAAAACCATATGTATTTGTTTACACACCAACAGACAAAAGAACATAAGTAAAGATAAAATATATACATTATGTAAACTGTCCAATGAAACAAAAATCAATGTGTAGTTATACCAAAATATTGCAGAACCCAAGAAAACACATGCCATTAAAACAACAAAATGACCTTAATGTGTAAAGTGCCATATGCAACAGGAGTTTTGGGAAGAGCAAAATGTTAAAATAACCATTGCAGAGTTAAGAGTTTAAAGTGTTAAATACATTTGAACATATTAACAGGAATATAAAGATGATACATCTCAGCAAATCAATTTGACAGAAAAAGCCAAAATGCTGAACCATGATAGGATATAAGCCATTCCAAAAAAAGAGAATAACTCATTCAAATAAGGGAGATAACTCGTGCTGATTCTTACCAACTGGCCCACAGAGGGCATCAGATTCATCAGAACCATCCCGGCAATCCTTATTCTTATCGCATTTATAAGACTGACTTATACATTGACCATCACCACAGCGAAATAATCCCTCTGGACATAATGATTGAACAATACCTAAAATGTCATAAAAATATTGTAAAATTGTCCATGGGAGATAACTCCTAATTATATAAATATCATGTAGTTAAACTGAACATTGACATGAACTTTGAAAAGGATTTATTCTGTAAAAACTAATTAAACTTCAATGCCCTTGATAGGAAATAATTTAATACTAAGGTCATAACTTTTTAAGTCTTGCAGGCATTTTCCTTTCAGATTCGAAACAAGTTTGATTTGGGCCATCACCCATACAAGATATTTAGGAAATTATTGGCAACAAATAAGTAAACTATAACTCAAAACATTTCTCTAAGCTTATATTTTTGTACACATTTTATTCATAGAAGTCATAGGTCAAACATTTGTTGTGTTGCTATAGCAACAACTTACAATTCAGTTCATCTGAGAGATCTCCACAATCAAAATTGTCATTACATCTTGCTGCTTTTGGAATGCATTGCCTTCTGTTTACGCATTGCCACTCGTCTGGTTGGCAACCTGTAGTGTATTTAACAGGTAATTAACATAAAATATCAGAGATATGTATCATAACATAGATGACCTTTACATACTGCCAATGTTATCACTGAAACTCATGCAAATGGCCGACACAGGCAGCCATATTTGGTTTGATTAACAGATAATCAACATAAATAGTGTTAACATAAACCCATTGGTCACCCTGTCTGTTATTATTGCTTGGTTTGACTGTATAACAGGCAAGTAAAATGAACGGAAATTAACAGTAAATAATGTTAGTTTTAAATTAGATTTTAACTGTCATATGATATCTGCCCTTTGAAATTTCAACTGTCATGTTTGACAGTCAACTTGTGTATAGGTGTAAATAACCTTTAAAATGAATTGCCATGTTATCTGTCTGGCAACCTCAGTGTTGCAATTAACAGTTAATGAATATAACTATTAAATGTTAATGTTAACAATTTTCTTGTTTTACTTTTCAATTCATTGTCATCATTCTTCATGCTTCAACTATATAAATATTCATCAATACAGTAAAACCTGAATATAAAACTACAGATATTTTTTTGTGTAATGCAATGGTAATTCACGAATTTTCCATCACCAGTCAATGCTGCTTGGTCAAAATAAATCCAACAGAGTATAGAGTGAAGAATCTTGTGTGATCATGAATTTGGTGATTGTTTAAAGGCAATTTAAAAAAAATCCTGGATTCATATTTTTTACCATGTTTGATGAAAACCTCAGCCCTTAACCAAAATGAGAATAGCCAGAAATAAAAATAATTTTTGTGAAGCTCTAAAAAAATATAGGCCCCATGCTGGACAACAATAAAGGATTTTTATTTATTTCCTAAAATAATATAATCTGATAAATAAGACCAAAACACACTGCACTGCGAAACTTTAATTCTTCTTTTCTAATCATTTCAGCACAAAATGGAATAAATTAAGTAAGACATTTATAAGTCTAATTCAATTCTGATAAAGTGCACAAATAGGGCAGACAACCAGAACAGAAAAAACTCTTATAAAACTCTGGCAAAGATGCATTTTCGGGGAAGCATTAAGCTGCATAATATTTATTACAAGTCTAATTCCTGACATAAAAGCACGCTCTACGTTCTTGGCAAATTTGCAACTCATGAATTTCCATTCATCATGCAACTACCGATTATCTCTTTATTATATCATTATGACAAAAAAATTACAGAATTATGACAGGTAGTGACAAATTCATGTAATACTATAATGAGAGACACAGTTTTATATAATTATATTTAACAACTTTAGTTTAAAGTGTTGAAACATGTCAACTGTTTATAGCAAATCGTCTGGAATAGAATTTCGTGTCCTGCCACAGATGTAAAATCAACGATTTCTGTTTGATTGAACAAGAAGAGAAATGGTTAAAAGTTCAACTGATTATAACCAAGCAAGCTAAAGATCGTGCATGTGTGTCGATTTAAACTGACATTCCCACATATGGTAAAAATTTAATATAATTAACTGAGACATGTCTGTTGCACAGATTAGGGGTCTGCAGTTCTGTGTTTTTTAAATATTTTTATGACTATTTTCTCTACTCTTTTCAGCATCCTGTTATTCTCTGGTTTTCATTTATTTAAACCATTTTTCTCTATTCTTTTATCTTTTGCCCATAGTTCACTATTCTTTACATTTTAGCACCCCATTTATATTCTCTGTTCTTTTTTGGGGGGCAATTTTTCTCTATTCTTTATTTTTTTACTCATAATTGTGTAACCTGTATTTCATTAAATACCTCTTCCAGACCCTCAATGCAACAACAGTTTTGAAATGGATAAAATTAAATAGGCTTTGTCCAAAGCTACTTTATAAATATCCTCTTGTATTGTAAATTGTATCTCATCATGATGAGCAATGCTTAAGTTGCTGACAAACTTGAGGTACCAGTTTATACCATGCAAAAGAACGTATCATCATATTTTATAGATGGTATGATTTTGTAAGCAATAAGACAACTATCCATAGATCATTGAAGGACTAGGAATCGTATAATATTACTACTTTGGAAATTTATTAGGCCAACGCTACAAAAAATCCCATATTTTAAAATCATTATATGTATCTTTCTTTTTTCATCTGCAGAAAATCTAATCATTTTGATAAAAACACTTCAACAGCAAAATAATTGAATGAGACAGAAGATTAAAATCCTATTCCTAAACCAAGTGTAGAAATAAATAGTTCCAATTTATTTTAAATAAATTTTAAATTCTTTTTACTTGACATATCTCATTGTGTTTGTAAGTTTATATAAATATTTATATAACACAAGATTCCCACAATGATCTAAAGTTACACATCTCAATGAAAATAGTCAATTTTTAAGACATTAACCCCTGTTTTGTAAATAAGACCAGTCCATTTAAACCTCATTATAAAACTAGTAGCCTTAAACGACCTGGGGTCAAATAAGTCAAGTCATCTTCAAATTCCTAATAATAGCCTATTAAAATTCTAAAGAAAAAGACACAGTTTCAATCTTAATCTACAATGTCAATTTCAAAGACACTGAATACTTTTAATTACAATAGTGTCTTTTTTAATGATGGCTTCTTTATGTCCATTTCAACTGGTCAAATTTACCTTCAACAAAGGCTGTAATTTGAGCCACAATGTATAATTTTCCTAAATATGAGGAACAGCATGAAATGTGACCTTTTATTGCATTGACCTATGAACCTGAGGGCAGCTGTACTGACAAGATTATTACCTTGATCTTTAATTTAAGGTATAATTCAATTAAGATGGCCATTTGGTGGTTCAGAAGTTATGTGCCACTGCTTCTTCAAAGAATTTTAGTAAGATATCTCCACAAGTCGTAACCCTTGACTTGTTTCAATTCAAAATAAAATATAAAAGTCTTTCAAAACATGAAGCTAGATTTCAGCCACATCCCTTTTCCAAAATTGTACTTGACCATCCTATTATCGATAAAAAGGATAATTTTTCAGCATTTTTTTATTTTTAAACCTATTTTTGCACTTTATTCTTATCTTGTTCTGAGCCCTCACAAACATGTTTAATCCATCCACATCTTTTATGTGCCTGACCTAAGCTAAGGAGCGTGTGATCCAATGGTTGTTATTGGATGCTATGTGTCTGACCTAAGCTAAGGTGTGTGTGATCCAATGGTTGTTATTGGATGCTATGTGCCAGACATAAGCTAAGGAGCGTGTGATCCAATGGTTGTTATTGGATGCTATTTGCCTGACCTAAGCTAAGGAGCGTGTGATCCAATGGTTGTTATTGGAGGCTATTTGCCTGACCTAAGCTAAGGAGCCTGTAATCCAATGGTTGTTATTTGATGCTATTTGCCATATTTGTTTTCTGTGAGACTGTAAGACAATTTCTTTTGAATAGCATGAACTTTGTCATCCAGGGCGTTTTATAGCTTACTATAGAGTTTAGGTCTCATCGTTGAAGGCCATATTGTAACCTGTAATTATTTACATTCAGCGATCAATTTTACAAAATATCTTACGAAAAAAAATCTTGCAAGTCATGAACATTTCAGTAAAAATTACGACCAATTTTATTTCTACAATTTTTTGTAAAAAGGACTACTACGTGTCCTTTGATCTTCCATGGATTACGTTGTCACTGCGGCTTGGCAATCATTACCACACATCTTTTTATTTCTATATCTTAATTCTGTTTTGCACACAAGCAATAATCAAAGTCATAAAAAGTCATTGAATGTGAATAGTTTTATTGGTAGCAGAATTTATATGTTTTTATTGTCCTAAATTTGTTTCTCAATACACCATGAAATTAGCATCAATTACATCAAATTGAAACATTTTTCCAGAACATTAATTTACCATAAATCATATCCATTTTATATAGTAATTCACATTTTCTAAATTTCTTGCATTTAAAAAAAACATAAATTATATAGAAAAAGATATTTAAACTCCTTCTCAATTTGTTAAGGATTAAAAACAAATGTAATCTTTTTTTTAAGTAAGTTATCTAAGTTATTAAGAACTATTTTTAGAAAAAAAACCCATAAAAATTCAACTGGATACTAAAATGTCAGATAAACTTAGACAATAATGTGTTGAAGTAGAAATTTATCAAATTTATCTGTCCCTCCTATTGTCATTGGTGGATGGAACTCCAGTGCGGGCGGCTCCAGGATTTTATGTTAGGGAAATTAGGAAGACAGGCTCCTTAATATTTTAAAAATTACATTTTTATGCTACAATCATGAAAAAGACAGTTAAATCAACCCTTTCTTTTTCTTTGCTTTGCATCGTTTTAACTTTGTCATGGAGATCACATGCAGTCATAGGTGTTGAATTTTATAAATGGAAATAAAAATATATAACTTTTATTAAAAATGCCATGACAGTTCAAAATTACAGAATCATGTCATTTTATTTTATATAATTGATGAATTATTTTTTTAATGTAGACTAACACATTATTCATTTGTCTAACTACCAAAAAAGTTCTTTTATTCGCAATTTTCCATATTCACAGCATCTCACGATATTATATTTTCATGACACGATATTTATCTGTAAACAGTAATTTGAACTCATTTAATTTGTTAAAACATGTGCAGCACTGGGATTGGCAATTATTCAATTTTTTGCAGTTTCAAAATTTGAATAATAAAATTCATGCCGATATCTTAATGAGACTCTCAGCATTTAATTTCCATATACTTCAACTTTTGTAGATAAAAAACACATTTTTAGCATACAAGAATACTTAATGCTTTTTCTATCTCTCTTTTCTCATTCTGATATATTATAATAATAGTACACATCTATTTAAATCTACCAATTTTATTTCTTTTGCTCCAATAAACAGCTCAATTTTGAGTTTGTTGTTGGGTAAACACCGCAATGAATTCAGCAAAATTTCAAGTGATGTCGAAAAAAAAATTCACCAGTGACACCATGCTGAAAGATACCATTGAAATTTCATTATCCCATTACTTATAATATTATCCAAAGT